TGATTTCAACACGTTGTCATATTGTATATGAGATTGCAACAAGTTGTGCTTCACCTCGAATACCAATATCTTTGAATGTTTTCAACAGAATAGAGTGGACAACAGTATCGAAGCCTTTTCTTTATCAATATAAACTCCGCCAGACGGAGTGCCTTCAGCTATATGTTTATATTGTTTTTTTGTTCTTATCCATCATTCGGTTGCCCTCTTACGAGCAACCCTCAGAAGTCTTCAGGAGCCTTGTGCGAGCAAGGAATGACGGAGGTCTTACCATTCAACATGTGTTCCCAAACACGTTCTTAGGTCATCAGAAAAATTTCTGCGGTCGTGGTGGCAATCCAACTCAATTACCGGCAATCCAACGTGGATAGAACATTGACGCTTTAAACACGAGGCTACGCTGGCCTTTATAAATATAACTTGTCAGACTTTCGATTAGATCTTCAGTCGATTGTTAGTGGAGAAATAAGAAATCTAGAATAGAACGTAGCATGGAGAGTACTATCGTCAGCAAAGCTGTGGATAGGGCAAGTGGTGCTTCCAATAGATCGTTGATATGAAGCAGGAATGTTGGTCATTAAATTGATCCTTGTGGAACGTTGGAATGATTGCAATGGTATCAGACGATACTCCGTCTGGTTATGACGTCATATGGATAACAAATGATTATGATTCGATTCTTGTTATTCAAATTTTTGCTATGTTAATGGTACAAAAATATATTTCAAAATGAAATTTGTTACGATGTAGGTATGTTCAAGTGACTGGAAAACCCTGATGATAAAGACAAATAGGATATTAGGGCAAATGGCATTTTATCAATATAATTATAATTATTGTGCTTTGTCGACTTTTTTTCCAACTACTATCGCTATACTTCTTAGTAAACCAATTATTTAAATGAAAAAAAGTATCCATCAGGGTGGCTTCCGGAATATCATAACGGGACCACGAAAATCCTTCAATTATATGCCATTTATGCAGTCTTATTTTTCACAAAAATGTTTCATTTCCAATCGTTATTAACAAAGAATTAATTATATTGCTACATTTTAAGAGACGAAAATGCTTTTATTGTGAAGGTTTCTAAGAAATTCAGTCGTTTGAAAAAAAAATACTTATAACCATGTATTTATAACATACGAAAAGCGTCCCATAAAAACAAGGTTCAAGGAACAATTAGCACATTTAAAATATGGTAGGTTAGATAAATTGTCTGTAGCCGAACACATGTTCAATCACAATCATAACACACATATTAATAACCTCAAGTTAGTTAAGCAAATTAATAATGTTAGAAAATTAGATGTCTATGAGGCTCAGAGATTTTTAAGGATAGTAATAGAGTAATGAATAAGGAGAATGGACCTATATCATTTAGCCCTCTGTATAGTTTAGTAATATATCATTTGAATTGAACCATGAATAACATTAACTTGGTCGTTATTGTCTATTTACGGTTGGGTGGACATATACCTAGTATATAAGTAGCCCACTGCGATAGAGCATTTAGTTTTAATATATTCCTGAAGATGCTAACAGAGTTAGCGAAACACGTGTCGAGGTGTAAAACATCGGTTTGTGAAACGTTTCGCCTAGGGCAATGGGCTTTTTCAATCTTAATTTTTACTTTAGGAATCTTTGCTATCATTCCTTCACTAGCAATTCAGTCAGACGAACTCGACAAACCCAGTTCGTTGTCAGCCTCGAAACATATCGAACAGCTCTTTATCAAAACTCTTCTGTCTATAGAACGATGAAAATCTTCCTGAGGAGTTATTCAATATCAACTGAACAGGAAGCAATGCTATTGTCTCCGTTCTAGAAGAATGCAAGCGGATTCCTTGATTGTCCTCTTTTGGTTGTTATCTTCCTTTCCTATGATTTTGATGTTATTAGACTCTGCCATATGTTGTTCATTTTCAATATTACTGAACATATGGAGAAGTGATCTTTGATCTTCACTGTTCCTTACCGAAACACATAACAAATGTCAACATCTTGTTAACCACGACATAAAAATATGCAACATAGTACAACAAATAACAACATATGATGCAACATAGTTGACTAAACATGATGTTGTTGCAGTAAGTTGAACTATGTTGCTCTGGTGGAGACATACCTTTACAAAAACTGCGACCCCAGATTGGTCTATTGTGGCTCACCCCTAGAGGTTACAGTTCACTGTACAATCCACATCTTTTCACCAAGTTCATGGTTGAATTAGGTGAGATTTGTCTGAAATCGATAGGTTGTAAATTGGTAAAGCCAAATATATCGAACCTCAGTCTCTTTAAGTAGTCTAAGTGAACATGAACATAATATGTGTTCAGCCGTTTCGTCTTCTACACAGCAGAATCGACAATCCGTTTGTTGGTTCAGACCCATCTTGGTCTGGTATCTTAGACGACAGTCTCCCGTAAGCAGTCGTGTCAGAATTCGCAGGTTACCCTTGCTCTATTCTAGGATCTGCCTGGTTATATTTTTCGATGATCTAGGCAGAAACGCCTTCGAATGGTTCAACCCTGGTAATTCAGATCAGTTCGTGAGTCTCTCTCCCTCCGCCTAGTCCGAGATTGTTGTTTTGGTCGCACTTGTGGTGACCCCAAAGTATGGTTCTGGTCCTATGAACCCAGATTCGGGTCCCTGTTTGGCGAGGGTGTCGGCTTTCTCGTTTCCCTCCACCCCCTGGTGTCCAGGCACCCACACCAAAGTAACTCTTTTGATGGCACCCAGGCATTCTAGGGATTCAATACAGCTCCATACAAGCTTGGAATTCATCTTGCTGGAGCTCAGTGCTTTAAGAGCAGCCTGACTGTCTGATACCATGCTGATGTTCTTGTTTACTAGAGGTCTATTCGTCAACTCTCTAGCATACAATTCAATTGCGAAGACCTCCGCCTGAAAGATTGTAGCATACTTACCGAGATTCACAGAGAGTTCCGTCTTCGGTTTGGACTAATACACATACCCACTCGTCTCTCTTCGGAAAGAGGACTTTGAAAGACTATTTCACGTGTGTTTGAGTTGCCAACATGTCAGGAACCATTCCTAGAGTTTGGTGATTTTTTATTTCACACAGTATCCCGGAGTGGTCCAGCAGTCGTCCCCCTCTAATTTGTTTTTCCAATGACAGGAATCTGTAGGAAACCATCCTGGCTTCCCTCTCCAAGACAATGTGTAGGGGAGTTAGGTTCAGGAGGTTTTCCATCGCTGCCGTTGGAGTAGAGGACATCGCCCCTGTAATGGCCAGGCATGCCAGCCGCTGAAGGCCAGCGAGCTTTGCCCTGGCTGTTCCCTGCAGACCTTTAGTCCACCAGACTACCGAGCCATACGTGACCATTGGTTTTACCATTGTTTGGTAAATCCAGTAAATCTGTTTGGGGTTCATTCCCCATGATTTTCCGCATACCCTTCTGAGATTCCAGAGGGAAAATCTGGCTTTGTTAATAGTTTTTGTCAAGTGGGCGTTCCAGGTATTTTATCTAGGGTAACCCCTAGATATTTCACCTCCGCCTCAAACAGAATGCTGTCTCCATATAGGACAGGCTGACGAAGCTCACCTAGCTTTTTGCCTTTTGGTAAAAGGGATAAATACAGTTTTCCGGGGGTTCACAGACATCTGCTCCCTCTCGCACCATCTGTACACAGTATTGAAGGCTTCTTGTAGGCCGTTTGAGATCGTCGCTTCAAATTTCCCTCTTACTATTAGGACTAGAGCATCTGCATAGCATTGGAAGTCCACTCCTTGCATGGAAAGATCGTTCAGCAGAGTCAACTAGGAATGACCACATAGCATTGAAAGTCCACTCCCTATACATGGAAAGATTGTTCAGCAGAGAGTCAACTAGGAATGACCACTTGAGGGGGGAAAGTACTCCGCCCTGTGGACAGCCTTTTGCCGCTCAAAACCTGATCGACTCTCCATGCAATGATGATATGACGTACTGATTTCCAATCATGGTTTTGATCCAGTTGCATATTTGACTGATGATTCCTCTACCTTGCATTGCCATGTAGAGTGATTGTGGTAGGGCATTATTGAACGCTCCTTCTATGTCCAGGAAAGCTGCCATCGCTATTGCCTTATGATCTGAGGAATGGCTGATATTTCCTACAAGATTGTTCAGTGCATAATCCGTTGATTTGCCTGTTTGGTAGGCATATTGATGGGGATTTAGGGGATGTTCCCTCAGATTCCCTTCTCTAATGTGCCTGTCTAGAATTCTTTCTAGGGTTTTCGATAGGAACGAGGTAAGGCTGATCGGTTGGAAGGATTTGGGTAGGTAGTGATTCGCCATACCCGATTTGTGTATATAAACAACCCTCGCTGTTGACCAGTCTAGCGGAATATAGCTCCACGCCAAGCTCGCTCTGAATAAATCAACCAGGAGAGGTAGTAAAACTTCTCTACCCTTTTGTATGAGGGCAGGAAAAACTCCGTTCTCTCGGAGACTATAATGGAGAGAAATAATTCACCGCCCATTCCACTGACTCTGGGGTGACCACCATTGAGGCATTCTTCTAGTCCTCCTTTTTGGTCGTATTATCGATCCCATTGGAAGAGGAATCTGCTGATGGTCTTCCAGAAGCAGACTGCGTGTATGTATGCTTCCTCTCTCATCACACTTTTATGTCATGTGTTATCTTCTTTTTTGACTATCACTATATAATTTTGTAATTGTCCACTGGAAAATTAAATGAATGAAATGAAAACGAGTATACTTCATCAATATAATAATGGTAACACCTATTATGTCTTATGTATCCTCACCCCGTAACCATCATATATTAATTGTTGTGAATACTGTTTACCTGATGGCATAGTTCCATGATATATTTTTTAATTTGAAGTAATTAACGCTATCTAGAGATAGATCATAATATACACGATACGCTTTAACTTAACACTCTGAATTTCCTAAAAGTTCCCATGGTTGATTGCGATATCATTTTTTGCCCTGAAATAACGACTTGAAGTCGACCTATAAATATTCAAAAGGCTACAGCGTTGGATCAGAAACATTTCTAGAGGGTACAAATATGGTTTCTTCATCGATAATATACTCTTCCCTTAAAGTGATCATACTACAACTGTTCATGATGAACTCCATTCAAAGTTTATCTGTAAGTATTCACCAACAACTTGCAACAAACTATTAAAAAAATCGAAAAGTTTCGAAGTACTCAGCAAACAAATGTTTGGGGTTCATTTCCAAAATCAATGATTATTTTTATTCTCATTGTTCGACAAAATCGAAGACCACAAAACTGTATATTTTATAGTTAATGATTTTTGTGCAATTCTGTAAATGGAAGAGTACTCTTAATCGCTCATTTGAGGAACTAAAGTGGAACTTTTAATCCCTCAGAGACTGGAGGAATCAGTGGCAAAGTGGAAAATTCGAAATTATAGTACCGCTACGAGTGTTCTTGTCTTCAATTATTTTCTTGATTTTTCAATTTTCAGTTTTCCACACTCATGCTGTGCATAATAGTTATTCATGTATCGAGTGCGTAAAATAGGCTTTTTATGGACCGTAGTGTGTGAGTAAGATCAACATGCCAAGATCCATAAAAGCAAGGTACGCCCGAAATACATACAACATTTTATGCACGACCGGCATATTTGATTTTTCATTGTGAATATACCTCTTTACCTCTCAAGTGTGATAGAAATACATTAACTTTGCACTGAGGAATATCACTGATGGAATCATCGCTACCATGATAACTCTCAGTCAACTTTTCTAGATAGAAGTTGACGATCATTTGCAGTCAATTAATGTAATCACAGATAGCCTGTTTTGGTTTTCATCATATCACTTTGTATCTCAAAATCATCAAGAGTATTTCAATATTCTAGATAATGAACTACAACTGAAACAAATATATCCTGAATTATACAGAAATGCTCATTACGCCACAAAACCGGTCGATAAAGTGCTACTTTACGCCTGGTCGTGCATGAAATGGTATATCGACCACGGGACTGAAGTTATTTTTAATCCCTCAGTGAATTGTAGACCTCATTCGGTCAAGCTACAAACTTTTTGTATCGGGATTAAAAGTTCCACTTTGGTTCCTAGACTTATAATTCACTATTTTCACCTGCCAAACCCAGCAAGAGACACATGCTAGGGTGTAGGTAGGCAGTTCAGAAGAGAAAATATCAGGATATTACACGTTCGTTTTGATCATCCCTTGCAACGATATGAAAAAACTCATCAAATACAGCTAGACACTTGTTTTCAAATTTACTCATTCGAAATTGATCCAATGAGATTCAATAATGAATAGCTCAATTAATTCATTCTACATCGCTTCCAGTTGTGGTTCAGAAGAAAAACTTATACGAGGTAGCATTTTTTAAAATCCGACCTACTTATTATTTTCTAATTTTGCACAGAGATAGAGATTCCAACGTCACAATAAAAGACTGCATTACACTTATCATGACTATATCTTTCACGATCAACTTTACAGATTTGGAAAAATTAATGAAAATCTCCATATAGAAATGAATTCTTGATAATTTAGCTTTGTCGATCATTCAGTAAGTAGAAGTAACTTCTATGCCCTAGTAGATGTGTTATTTTCGAAATTGTCTTTCTGTGTGTAGGCTTTGTTACTAACTCCATACACAACGAATGCAGCATGTCATATTGGAACGCAACAGCAAATCTTACGGAATAATCGTCGACCGGATGGACGAAAATTGAAATTCATTGCTCATTTTTTTAATTGAATTTTCTCTGCTTTTTTAACGAGTGTGAAATCAAAAATTCTTCATCTTCTACCTTCTTGAATTCCGATTGGTTGTCCATATTGTTTCAAAAAAAATTTCTAGTACACCGCTGAAAAACCTCGCCTTCAATGGGCCTGTGCCAAATTTCAATTGGTATAATAAATATAACGTTGATTCATTCATTTTCTTCGTGGCATAACGATCATTATGGTTTATTAGCCGTTTCAACAATAAATATTATTGTTTCCACATCATTTTTCACGTTTTATTATTATATTGGCAACTCTATCAAAATACATAAATTCATACCAACAATGGGTTTTTAATTTTGAGTGCATAATTATTATGAATATGAAATACTTTCATACAGAGTGTATAGGTACAAGAATTATACTGCAGTGGAAGGATAGTGAATAAGGAGTTTTTTTGAGATTTCACAATAAAATTGATTTTCGAACATATAGTACGTGAAATGTAGCGTTTTGTATAGCAGGTACTAGTGCTAGAGCACCCTGTATACCCAGAAGTCGAAGTTAAAGTTTCTGATATTGATGAAAATATCATATTCTTTAAGATTTTCGAATAACTGTTATGGTTGAGATAAAACGGTTACACGGAAAAAAAGTTTTGTTGCACCAACAAAATAATTTTCATTTTTTTTTGTTAAATTACACACAATTTTGCGAAATCAACAAAATATATGTTCATTCTAAATAAGCAACCCATCCAAGGCAAATATTTGCTTACTTGAACAAAAGTTTCATTTCATTCAACAACATTTATAGTTGACATAAAATGAATTTTGTTGATCCAACTATTATCTCATTGTTCGGTCAATCATATGTATTTTGTTTATTCGGCAAAATCAATTAACTTTGACATAGGTTTAACTAAATACAACATCATATTTTGTTGAGTCAACAATCATTTCATTGTGCAACCAATCAAAGGTTTCTTTCTATTCGACAAATTGAATTGATTATGACAACATAATATTTTGTTGATTCAACACATCACTATCAAGAAATATGTTGTTATTTCAAACAAATTACTTTGTTGAACAGAACCCACAAATACATTATATCAAACAAATATTTTGTTGAATGATTATCTAGTTGCATTTTCGCCACCAGGTGGCGTTTCTTTCAACCTTCCTACGCTTGCCTCGATTGGGGTGTACATATACCTACCTGAAACATCCGTTCATGTAATTATATAAGCTGTCCGAGGATTTTTTATGACGCTTATACAAGCTAATAGTCTTGAATCAACTGATGAAATTGATCTCTAATTTCTCTTAGTTTGAGAAAATTCAGTTATTGGATTGTTTTCAATATTATTCAGCAAAATATTTTGTCAATTCTAAATACAATTTGGTTGATCGAAGAATATATATTGTTATTTGAACATATACACTCTGAAAAACTGAACATTTTGTAACTTGAATGAAATGATATAATCATTTCAATCAACAGAATCGTTAAACGAGCAGATATTGTATTATAGGAACAAAATAGTCTTTGTTTATTCAACCAATTCCTGCTGTTAAATTGAATGAATCATTAATGAGTTACATCAAATGAATTTTGAATTGAGAACTGACAAAAAACATTTGTTGCGGTGACAAAATATTTTGTCGTGGATATATGACACTCAGATTTTGTTGAATTTACAAAATTTTTGTAGTTTCAAACAATTTTTTTTTCTGTGTATATAAATGTTGACCTCTTTCATAATTTGTAGATTGATGATCCGATTTTGACGATAGAAGATGGAATGATCAGAGGAAAAAAAGACACTACTGTTGGACAGCACAAAACTTATTATTCTTTTCGAGGGATACCTTTCGCTAAACCACCCCTGGAATCTTTGAGGTTCAAGGTAAGAGACGAGAAGCTATACCTTTTGACGTATATAACTCATATCAGAGTTAATATTGGTCATAATTAATTAAGGCTCACTGATAACATTCAGACACTTGCGCAATCGCTCAAAAAAAATTCCATCCGTTTGGATGCGTACCTGCCTTATTAGGCCAATAATCGCAGTGGGCAAAGCCCTAACCAACCTCGTTATCCTAATTTTTTTATTTGTTTTCGTTGCTGGTGCATTCTAGTGGAGAAGCTCAGATTTTTGGGCCCGAGGCAAACCAAGAGGTATCAAGGCTCCAATTATAATTGATTACTAATGAATAATAATAACAATTATTCTGTCATATCAAATACAATACAGAGTAATCAGCTACTGTTATAGAAAAAAATCAATAAACCGTTCTTTCAAGCACAAATTGAAGACTTGTTCAAATAACAGTCGAAGCTTCTCCTTCTGGATTGCCAACATATTTTTTGCTTATATTCTGAAACGCATAAAAGAGAATGTCTTTTATGTTCGAGGATCGTACACTCGTCTTCAGTGAACATGTCGCGGTTGGACCTGAATTTTAAATGTCCCTGGCAGATTTAAAAACAACCCGACAAAGATAACCAATTATGAGAAGAAGATGCTCATTTAATACCGATTCCAAAATGGTATAACATATGGGGTTATTCAAAACAGCCGTTTTGTTACTAATTTTCCTCAAATGGGTCGCGTTTCTCAGAAAAATTGAATAACTTTCGTACCATCAACAATTTGATGTTGCGTCCAGATTTCTTGGAAATTGAATTTCACTGACATTATCTTAATCCATTTATCGGTAATATCATGCGGAATAATATTGTTCATAATATGGAGCACCTTGAGTTCAGCTATGATTTCACTCAAGATTCCACTCGGAACGGTTTACTTAATTTACACCACCGAACGGTTGATTTATCTCTATAATACTTCTATAGTAATGGCGGAAGCGAGGATGGGGGCATACAGACTGGAGTGTAGTTAGATATACACCGCCCATGCATTCAGACGGTAACGCTTGTTTGGGATTTAGTTGGGACCCCGAATTTTTACCATCTATCGCCGCTATTGCGAATTACCGCGCGTGGTCGCAAATTCGATTTTTTACAGATTTCTGTAACATGGCATTCAGCGTATAGAAGCGGAGTTGTCAAATGTTAGTTTTTGTTGGATTTCTAATATATTGGTAGGTACATGTAGATTATTATTAATCTACGATACTGCAACCACAATTATTTTCAGTATAAGACTTCCTTGGTATGTATAAGAGATTTCAATCTTTAATCTATGAATCTATGGTATTATGTTATTTTATTAGTTTTCCATTGTGCTCGAATTATGATTACTCATGATGTGTTATTGTGCCTATACCTATGTGAAGCTGGAAAATTCAAGAACGTGAGTTGACAATAAATAAATGGACATGAGTGTGAGAAAGTAGAAATTTTGGAAATTCAATTGATCGAGAACTCCAGAGTTTAGAAGCTGAAGATGCATTTGGATATGGGGCACTGTTTTAAGGGTAAACAATCGATGAATTTAGATTGTTTAGAATGTTTAGATCTGTCTATATACAAGGAAGTCCAAATTCGTGATAGTTACACCATTTTTAATTCAACAACGGCTGGAACAATTTTCATGATATTTGATTTTTTATTGTATTCATCTGAAATATGGGATAATAAGTTCAAAAATTCTTCAAAATTAGGAAATTCGAGATGGCGAACCCAATATGACGAGTTCTGTGATTATGATCAGATTCTATTCAAGATTGGTATCTGGGGGTTTACATGGTCGGAGATTATGATTCCTTCGTCAAAAATTCTATATGGTGGATCCAATATGGCGGACGAGTTTTGTAATTTATAATCGGATTCTATTCAAAATTGGTATCTGGGAGTTTTCGAGGTTAAAGATTAATGGACAAAATTATAGAAAATTCGAGATAGTGGATTCAATATGGCGGAAGAGCTTTGTAATGAATAGTAAAGTTTTTGATAAATAGTATTCACGAAACGAGATTCAATAGATTATTTCACTTTACAAAACAGTCGTGAGACAAAATAGTTATTCTTGTATCTAGAGCGCGAAATGCTACTTTGGTGATCGAGATCTGATTTTTTCAAAGAGGCGAAGCCGAGTTAAAAAAATAGTCGAGATGACCAAAGTATTTCGCGCTCGAGTTGCAAACAACATTTTTTCTACGAACGTCAAAAAATATAGTTCTAATGTAAAAATATGCTTAGCTTGACATAAAAAATAGTGTTGAACTGGCTTAAAAGGCCTTCCCCTTTCCCTAGTTACGCAAGATGTTCCACGAGCATACCAAATAGGAATTTCCTTTCGTGCGTTTCAAGAGATAGAACAAAGTTATTGTTGGACATCCAGAAATAAATGATTTCGTGGATGTTTGCTCGATTGAGGACTATGAGGTTGAAATATAAATATCTCATATATTTTACGTAACAATGTTTTACTTCGCGCATTGTTTTGTGCAAGGTATCATGGTAACGTAGGAAACTGAAAAAAGTGTCACTTCGCAATTTGTTATCAATGCGCGAACCTTGTCATTTTTTGACGTTTGTAGAAAAAATATATTTTATATATCATTCTTATGAGAGAACAATCATATCATCAAAGGCCATTCTTCAAAAATACCTATATTCCATTTTTCTATTATCTGTCCTTGAATATTTCAAAAGCTTTCATTTAACTTGCATTGTATGTTTGTATGGATGTATATGTATGTATGTTCGGGTGGAATCTTTGAACTCAATTTTGAAGTAGAAATCTTCAACCGATTGAGCTGAAATTTTGTATGCACGTTCAGTTTGGATTACAATGCACGATAAGTTGTGTCACGTTATTCTAAATCCAATATGGCGGACTATCCAAGATGGCGGAACAGCTATTTTTGATATACTTTCACAATATGGGTATCAAATGAAGAGGCTCGTTGAGAGTAACTCGAAAAATAATGTGACGTCATTCTAAATCGAGTATGGCGAACCATCCAAGATGGCGGAATGGTCATTTTTAGTCTACTTATACAATATGTGTATCAAATAAAAGGGCTAGTTGAGAGTAATTCGCAAAATGATGTGACGTTATTCTAAATCCAATATGGCGGACCATCAAAGATGGCGGAATAGCTATTTTTGATATACTTTCACAATATGGGTATCAAATGAAAAAGCTCGTTGAGAGTAACTCGAAAAATGATGTGACGTCATTCTAAATCGAATATGGCGGACCATCCAAGATGGCGGAATGGTCATTTTTAATCTACTTCTACAAAATGGGTATCAAATAAAAGGGCTCGTTGATAGTAATTCGAGAAAGAATGTGACGTTATTCTAAATTCAATATGGCGAACCATCCAAGATGGCGGAATAGCTATTTTCAATATACTTCTACACTATGAGTATCAAATGAAAAGGCTCGTTGAGAGTAAATCGAAAAATCCAGCTAGCGATAATCAAAAATTAAAAAATAAATTGAGAATAATAATAATTTCACTGGTGGCATTTATATATCTATATTCTATTCAGATATGCAATTTGAAAAAAAAAAATCGAATCAGAAATGCTCGGTCAGCATACTCTAATATAGGTCAGCAAATTATACGGCCCCTGCGTCATTGTTGAAAATATTTCAAAATCGCAATACTCCCACTGTGCACAAATCATAAATTCTTTTCCATTGCCAGCAAACAGCGGTACCTATTTTTTATAAAAGGTCGTAAATCATGCGGCGAGGGTCAGAAGATGCGTGTCAAACCGCAGCGCTAATGAGTCGTCGTGAAAAAAACTTTGATACCGATAAAAAAAACCCTTTTTTATTGCGATAACAATTTTTTTGATATGCCTAGAACTGGATGGCAGTAGATTTTCTATCGTTTCCACAATAATTGTTTCTGATTCGACCGTCATTATTCCGAGGTAATCCTAATTCAAATTATACGCGTAAATAAACGTTGATAACGTTATATTTTTCAAAATAGGTAATAATTAGGTTTTCCATGTTTCGAGAACCCAAGAAATATGATCGTTAATTGTGAGAGCCTCACCGTAATAACATTGCCGTATATTCTTGAATTTCTATAGGTATTTTAAAGCAGTCTGAAATGATATAAAATAATGATAATTTGATATCCCACTGAAATTATGAAATTTGTATTTTCTACACATGCCAGACCCTCGTAAACATTGCAAATGAGAAATGTATATATACCATCTCCATTCATAAATGTTAATTCCTATCAATTCTGAGAGCGGCGCCACTCTCTGGATACAAATTGTTGCCATGCAAGGGTTTCGTAGTCCCTAACTTTTTAGGTTAATTTTTCATTTTGAGTGGTTGAAAAAATTAGTACATATTTGTGAAGATCTAATCTATGTTCCTGTCGTCTCACTTTTTCGAAATTTGATTCAGTTTTTTCTAAAAAAATCGCTAAGTAACGTGTTTTTGGATGATTTTCCAATTTTTTTTCCGGCGGAACCGAATCGAATTTCGAAAAAGTAAGACGACAGGAACATAGATAATATCTTCACGAGTATGTACAATTTTTTTCATATACTCAAAATGAAAACTGACCCTGAAAAGTTAGGGACTACGAAACCCTTGCATTATTGCTTTATATCATAGTACAACTTCCTCTTCATCAAATAATATTGTTAAGAAATTGAAAATGAAGCTTAAAAATATATCGGAGCATAATATGATATCATCAATGTTAACAGATGACTGCATGATACATTTTGAATTCCTCATCAATCATTTGATTGTAGTAAAATTATATAAAGAGTGCAAATGGATGTCGACGTCTGAGAAATATTCGATTAAGAAGAAGAGTAGGAATGTATCATATAAATCAAAACTTGATATTTTACGTAGTGTATAGATCATCGGGAGTCGTTATTCTATGAAATGTGTAATGTATTTTGAGTAATATATAAAACTTTCATGTGATTTTTTTGTCTTTT